GTAGGGGTTAAACATCTCCATACAATTTGGGGTTTAGTTACTGGAGTTTTTTCTTGCCTTTGCGTTCACTACTATTTGGTGGCTAGTCTCGTGTGCTTGTGCCAGAGAGAACAAACCGAAAGACCCATATTCCGTTCATTACTCAGACTAAATAACTGAACGCTGCCCACACGCTACTTTGTACATAATCGATTGCAGCCGCGACCATATGAGCCCGTAGACCAACAGACAGGGCGTCGAACTCAAGCCCCATGGGCCTTGTGCTCAAGTCTTCTTCACAGGATTTGGTTCCGCCTGATTGCCAATGACAGTAGAACAGAACTGCTAATTTCGGTCTTTCCTGTCTTAAATCGAAACGTATTGAACCGGTTCCTCCCTCGGAGCGACTTGATCTTATCAAACACCCTATGCCCCCCCCCTCCACAAAATACACCACTTGCTTGTAAATAGAGTTGTGAAAATTCTTTCGGGCTTTTGCAACCTAATGCTGACTTGTTAGTAGTCGAAATACCTTTGACGACATTTGAAAACTTAATGTCTTGATTATTACTATGTATTGGGAGTGACCTATCATGCATTTAGAATCTGATGTGTCTGTCTGAAATTATTTACGTTTTTGACCACCTTCTCAGCATTATTCCTCTTTGAAGTCTTTCTCAAGCTGCTTGATGTTTTACTGTTTGGCTGTCCCCCTCCAGTACAAGTCGTCCGTTGCCTTGCCTCAATAGTTGTTCTCAGTTTGGACTCAGTTTAAAAACCCTTACATTGCCAATACAAGCGAACATAGAGGTCCCAGGAAGTAATTTAAGAAGAGATTAGATCGCTGGGTCAACACTTTTATTTTCTTGATGTTTCACCATCCATTGCGGATTCTTCCTCGGAGACATTAGCAGAAAGCAGTAGCAGAAGCGTGTAACACATGCACAGGAATTTGTAGTATTTATAGGACAGAGTCATTACTGCATACGTATGACAATTAAAGATACTTGCCCTCTTGTGTGTTGACTGCTGGATTACCGGCATGCGGGCCCTGACTTGCTGAACTTTCATCACGCGTGGTGGAATTGGACGTGATGATTGCTCGGCCATCTGGTTCCCCGGTGTTGGTATAAAACGACGCGGTGACCTGTGCGTTCCCCAAGTGGCCTTTTGTTTTGGCCAAATTGAGCCTCAACAACGATTAAGGATTGTGCAAATCTTTGCACTTGTTCGTGGACTGGGGGCCCGTGAACCATGACTCAAGTATTTCTCGGCTCACATGATTGTCACCTCTTGCTAAAATGTCGGCCTCATCAAATTTGAATGTGTGGCCGGGTGTCGTCGAACGAGCCGCAATTTCAGAATTGGCATCATTTAGCCGCACTGCTGCCGCGTGTTCAGCAATGCGCGTCATGAGAAATCTTCCTTTTTTCTGACGTAGTCGCTTCGTCCGCAACCGCACCAGGTCCTATAGACGACTCCAGATGTTTCTTGCCATGGCATTGGGTCTTTGGGTTTCATCGCCCTCATGTCTCTGATGAGGAATCCGCGACGTATGTCGAAACCACAGGCGAATAAAAGTGTTGTCCCAGCAATCGAATCTTCTTCTTCATCGCAGCCCCTACTTTATCAACTCGCTTGCTAAAACAGATCTTTCGTTAATTTTAGAGACACTTATGGACAGTCTTGCACTGCCATCAGATGACGTCCAATCCCAGGAACTCAAACGGTGGCTCCTTCGCCTGAAGTATTCATTTATTCTTCGCCAACGACGTGCTGGCAAACTCCCCAGACGACGACGCCCACAGCAGCACAGTACGCTAATTTCCAACCGTTGTCTTCATCTCAATGTCCTCCTTGGTTTGGCGGCATCAGCCTATTTTTTGTCCGGCAAGAATCCCACACTGGAGCAGTTGCTTGAAGAAAGTGGTCTTCAGTCCGTTGAACAAATCTTCACAGAACAAAGTCGACCGGACAAAACTCTGAAGGCCAGTGTGATAAAGTCGGTGTTGCGACAACGAGGCGTCTTTTCAGAAGCGGCTCTGGAAAGACAGGACCTCGAGGCACTTGCCGCACGATCAGGTGATTTTTGCTTTTGCAAGCAAACCATAAACTTACGTCGGCAAGATTGTCTTTAGAGGTCCTTTTTGCCTTTTGTATTATACTGGTAACATACTTTTGCATTTTCAGTGATCCGAATTTCCCTTCTTTTCGTTAAATTCCTCCAATATAAGGTCGATTTTCCCTTTTCCGCTAATATAAGGTTGCATTTCCCTAAACTGACATCGGCTTCCTGCGCGACAAGAGTTTATATTGGTGATCTGATTATATTTAGTACATTGAAACTGTTGGGAATGCCGCTATTCCCATAATGAGTTACACACACACACACAAAGGTTTCTTGTGTGCGCCTAGCTGCGGCCAGTCTTGTCTGCTCAATTCTGATTGGCCCATTGTCTCGACCATGTTTCTCGCGTTCCCCCTTAAATGCACTCAATTTTTATGTGCTTTGTCTGAGCACACACCGGTCTGAGCCGACCGGTCATTCTTCTGTCTCTGTTACGGGCCCTAAGTACCGTTCGTGCTAATTAGAAGTTCCAGGCTCGGATCGTAAAAGAAACAAATATAAATGTCCTTGATTTAATATTTTTTGCTCACTTTCAACACAATTGAATATTTACCTACATTCGGTAACTAAAAGTTGAACGCTTGACCACAAATTACCTTTGACAGTTGCGCGGGGGAATAGATATTTAGGCGGCTCTACAAGACAGTTTTGCCCTTACATCATCCCTCTCACTCACCCTTATCTTCCCTCGCAGGCGATATTAGCAGGCAGGAAGCACTGTCAGCCCTCTCTGCCGATGCCCGCTTGCAGCAGTTCAATTCGACTTGCGACCCGGACTCCCGTCTATACCAGGGCCAATTCCTTTCCTCGAGGACGCCTGTGCCTCCTCCTCCTCCTCCTCTTCCCTCCGCGACATCTTTGCCGCCAGCTTGCGCTTCCCAATCCTCACTTCCACCCAAGACGGTCATATTTGACAGTGTCAGTTTGTTCGTTGAGCGGATTGAAGACAACAAGCAGAGCATTTGGATTCTTTCCGTGAAAAATTCCGCCGCGTCCACTCAACGGCGCTCAGCCCCTCTTGCTGCGCATGGACGGAAACGGACTACCTGTTCCCAGACTGATGAATCATCGGTTCCAGTCACTGCCACCACTTGGGGTCATCTTGTGCGCCGGTTTGCGGCCTTTGAAATACGCTTCGGCATCCTGTTGTGTGACAAACTTGATGAGTAAGTCTTCATTTTTTGCCTTTTTGTATTTCAATGACTGCAAACACGGGAGGATAATCGACTTCTTATTTGACTGGTTGCTTTTTTTCGGAGGGCGACGATTCAACCCTCGTTGTCGACACAGCAAAGTGAATGCAGAGACGGTGAATTGCGCGTAATTTAGTTCGTATTGGTAGTAGGCTTTCGCAGTATCTACAACCTTCTCCTTTATCCCATACGGGCTCGATGTCAAGACAGAGTCAACAACACGGAAGACGGGAGAGGGCGCCGATTGCTGGCGCGAAGGCTATCTGCACCTACGTGTGCCACCACCTA